CAAGAGTTCGAGAAATCAAGAGTAAATTTGCTTGGTTGTATAGGGGAAAAAATCGGGACCAAAGACTCACTTCGAGCGATCAAGAACTTCGAGAGATCGAAGTTCAAGCCATCAAGAGTTACCTGTATTTCCGAGCATGCCATTATTTCTGACTCACCTAATTTTCCAAAAATTTGTGAGATTACTTCTGAATGACATATGCTAGGGCTTTCATATTTGACACAATATGCCATAAATAATGACATATCACGAAGACATCAAGTACTGAGGACAAAAGATGTGGTCTTCACTGTTTTTTTTTTTGGGGGGGGGGGGGGGGGGTATTAGACTGCTCACTCACTTTACATCGCTGTCCATTGAGCCACTGTTCCTGGATAGAGATTCTGTCGTTGTCACTGAGACCTGCGTGGTAAGATACAGCCTGGATACCTGATTTATTCAGCTCTGAAGCTACTGTGTCACACTCCTTTCTGTACACAGGTTAAAGACAGATCCACATTAAAATTGAAGCAACCAACTAAAATGAGATCCTTTGATCCGCTCACATAGATCGCTACACAATGATCTTAAGAAATCTTATTCAGGGTATTCTCCTGGTGACCTTTCAATTATCAAATCAAATGATCACTTATAGGAATTAAGTATCTCAGAAATCTATTGCATTGGTCTATTGATTGGTCAAAATTCTAATGAATGATCCTTTGTGTATTGATCCATGTGAGCGGATCAAAGGATCTGATTTTTATCAGAATGAAATTGTAGCTGACGAAGATCAAGCTCAGAATTTTCATACCAGAGTCGTTAAATTTAGTGTTTACCATTTGTAATACTCATTATTTTCCTAGTTAATGGCAAATCTATTATTCCTAAATTTTATGTTTACAATTTCTAGAGAAGTCATTCCTTTTTGAGTTAAACTGTTGTTCAAATTAATTTTTACAACTTCTTTTCTGAGTTAATTTTGAATCTATTTTGAGAACCTGAATTTAAAAGTTCTTTCAGTGAATCCCAGTTTAAAACAGAATACTGACCTGGAAAGACAATACACAATGCCACATTTTCCTGGAAACTGTTCCTTTATCAGTTTTGTCACATCTGCTGTTAGTGTTGACGGTTTCTTAGGTTCAACTCGGAATTTCAAATTTGGGCGATTGAAGCTTTGAACAAAGCTGTCAAAAAGCAATCAAAATACATACATGTACAAAACGTATGCTTTTACATTTAATATATTGAAAACTTAAAATGTTAAAACTGACAGTTACCAGTTTGGATTCTTCATTCCCAGCTGATAGATGACATCCTTGCGGACTCTCATGTTGGCAGTGGCGGTCAGTGCCATCATAGGAACCCCAGGGTACTTCTGTTTCAGGACCCCCAGCTTCTTATAGTCTGGCCGGAAGTCATGGCCCCACTACAAAGACAAATTCTACCTAAAATTCTCTGGTGAATAGCTTGGTAACATAATTCATCAAACACATAGGCTTTGATTTTTTAATGATAATTTATTTTAAAGGAGAATTTTTTTCACAGATTTTTCATTTCCCCTTTACATTTTGCAATTGCAAGTACAAGTAAATTCCCTTGTTCCTAGTTTTATTTTCACAGATTTTTTGTCTTCTGGGTAAATAAGGCTCTGATAGATTTCCCGGAATGCTAATTTTACCTGGCTGACACAGTGTGCTTCATCAATAACAAATATAGTCAACTTCCCTCTTCTGTGTAAATTGTCCAAGCTACTCAACAGCTTAGCACTGGCTGAAATCTACAAAACAACACATCAATATCATATAGGTACATGTATTAGGTACTTTAAACAGCTCTGATTTAAATACAACTCCTTTGATCTCAAACTCAATGGTACTAAGAAAAATATTTCTAGATATCAGACACTTTAAGATATCAAGGGTAGATTATTAAATAAGAAGATTGGACTACAAAATCACTTCAACATATCCATGGTATTCAAGAAATTAGGTTTGAGATAACAAAGTACAACTGTACATGAAGTTCAATACTGTATAACTCGTAAGTCTACTTCATACAAAATACATGTTCCTGTATCTGTCATTTTTAGTACACATGTACCTTTTCTGGTGTGACGTAGAGTAGTGTGATCTCGGGGGATTTGTAATACAGTTTTCTGTAGATCTGATCAGATTGATTCTGGTCCATGTCAGATGAAAGCTGACCTGCTTGTATCTGTAAAATGTCAAAAAAGATCCTATAGGTTCAATTAAAAAAAAATAATTTGGGTATAGTATTCTTAATTTGATCAAAACAACTAAGACAAAATCTACATGAATTGAATTCATCAATTAAAAAGAAGTATGTTATTTGGCAGAAATGGATTTTTTAGCAAGTTAGCATAAATTTGATTTGTTTTTAATAGCATTTTCTGAATGTGCTCTATCTAAATATTAAAAATATTTCAGCGATATACTTAATTTAGTGAAAATTGCCTTCTGTTTCAGTGCAAAGAAAAAATACCCAGCCAAATGTAATACATTTTCAGTAAGTCCATTACTACACAATGCACTATCGCACGAATATTCAAATTTCCGACATTATTCAACCTCAACATACAATAATTATAGCCATGGACCACTAATCCACATTGACTAAATTAAACTTACATCCATGGAGCAGAGCCTTGCAACCTGGTCCTGTATGAGGGCCTTTAGGGGGGATATAATGATAGACACGCCCCCGTCACCAGGGCAGGGAGCTGGTATTTACACAGACTCTTACCGCCCCCTACAATCAGAAGTGTAACACTGATCAACTAGATTAATGATAATTCAAAATATATTGTATAAAGGAATGCATTCAATTACCTCATATTTAAGGTTTACCTTCATATGATAAGCCATTAAGTGAAAAGAAAATGATTTTTGATCCCCTGATATTTTAACCTGCATTTGTACATAACTTCTTTTAGGGGGGGGACCATACCTATAATATTTTATTATTATGTGTATAGGAAGGGTCTCTTATGTGATACATGTATAGAATACAGTCAACCAACTTGGGACTGAGGAAATACTTCCGTGATATCAGAGCATTCAAAATATCAGATAACTAAAGATATCAGGGGATTCAAGCTATCAGGGGTGAAATACTTAGAGAATAAGTTATTGGGACTTCAAGATCACTTTGACATATCCAAGGAATTTTAGATTTTAGTGTTTGAGATATAGAAGTTCCACTGTATTTTATACCTCTAGGCATGAGAATAAAGCAGTCATTCCTAACAGTGCAGCATTGATAGCCTTGAGTTGGTTAGTGCGGAATTCACGTAAACCAAACACCTGGTTAAACGTCTCCCTCATGATCACACTGTGTGGGAAGTTATAGCCGTCAAACTCCTTGTTTTCCTCCTCTTCTCTCTTCCTGGTGCTGGGTGGGGAGACTGCAACAATACCCAAAAGTACAGTGTGTGAAGGATGAAACTTGCATATACATGAACATATTCATAACCTTCATTCAGGAACAGTACACTTTTAAAAATTGATGCTGGACTGAAATCTATCAGGGGTTATTTCTTCCTTCTATTCATAGCTTAAAAGAATGAGTAATATTCATTAATTTCAGAAATTTTCTTTCCTGCAGCATCATGATTTTACAAGCAAATATAGTCATCAAATGCATTTAATTTTGTCACAGTTTCAAGGAATTTATATCCCTAAGAACAAAATTTGTGATCATATAGATCTATTTTCACATTTGTTGTCTTGGTAAAGATAAGGGAGAGTTGTAATTATCTGCTTGGCTACCTTTTACAGAGTAAAGCCTACTTACCAAAGCTCTGATTGGTGCTCTGTCGTCTAGCCGTCACAGAAATCTGTGGTAAAGAGTCGGACTGCACATTCTCTGTAAACTACGAGTCAAAGTCGTCAGGGGCAAACAGTTCCTCAGGAAACTGATCGATCAAATCAGCCTCATCTTCGGAATCTGGAACACTGGTGGACGGTTTGTCCTGTCTAGCTGGCTGTGTCTGTATCAAACCACTGTCATTATTTAGTTTATAGTCAAAGCTAAAGTCTGTGGTTGACACTGCTTCAATGGTAATTATAGAGTTCCCAGCTACTGATTGGTTGTGTGAAGTACCAAATGAGTGTCCTCTATCATTTGATTGGTTGAAATGAGAGGTAGATGCTGATTGGTTTAAATATGATGTATCTGATTGGTTCATAAATGAGGAAGCGGCTGATTGGTTGAAATTCATCACAGGTGGCTCTTTGAAAGAAGAAGTGGGAGATTTCTTGTTGAATGAGCTGATAAAAATGTGATGTGTTTGAGTCAATTTAGCATCCTCCTCAAAGAAGCTGTCTCCACAGGGTATTGGGGAATTAAAACCATAGGGAGTGGTTTTCTTGAAAGAGAAGGACCTACTGGGTCCAGAACGGACAGACGAACGCCAGACAAAATGTGATCAGAAAAGCTCACTTGCGCCTTCGGCTCAGGTGAGCTAATAATGATTCACTCCTCATGGAACGCCTCAGCAAAGAAAGTGCTAAAACTACAAGCCCTTGCGATGAGTGGTTGCTGAGAAAACTGTGACGAAAATTTGGTATGTATGGTAGGGACAGACGCACGGATAAACAAGAAGTTGACATCGAGTTTGACCAAAAACAAATCCCACCACATGACATGCCTCACTCAATCATGAAAAGGAACACAAGGCAGGTGTTCCAGGTTTACAGAATATGCTTGGGCACTTCATCCAACCTTTTATTTATGTCTCATCTGCTCCTGATTTGTTTAGTTTTAACGGACTTTTGAACATGATTAATGTTTTTTCTCTATATATTTCATTTAGAGAACCTAACGGTATTTGGCTACATACAAATCTCTCAAAGAACTGTTCAAGTTTCAAATTCTCAATTAAAGTCAGGAAAAAACCCAAACAAGAAAGAACTCAAATTAGTGATTAATAAATGGCTTTATTAACAATTTAATTCATACCAAATTACAGATATAAATGTTTATTTCATTCATATTTAAAAGTAAGTACCAGCCCCACCACCCAGAAATGACCGCTTAGGTTGTGGGACTGGCATAAATCCTAAGCCACCCCTGGAACTAATGGAGCCACCCCTGGAACTAATGGAGCCACCTCTAGAACTGCTTGATCCACCCCTCTGGTTTTTTCCAGCACTTGGGACCTTCTTTGATGACCCTCTGGAGAATTTGTATGCTGAAAATTTGCTCCCTTTGTCAGAAAATCCACTGCAAAATAATAGTCAATTCATTGTAAATAAAAAAAATATTAAAAATACAGTTAGTGTTCATTTTAAAATCTATAATATGTTGACGGTGCGACCGTTATTGCTAGCGCAGATACTTATTCAGTTTTCTTTAGATCGGGCTTCTCAAACAGCACGTGACATTTGGTGCGTCTAGGGCTCTGACGTCATATGCATGTTGCTTTAGAAGTACCTTTTTGTAGGCCCCCCTCTTTCTGCCCGTGTTTGATGAACCTGCTGACTCGTCAACAAAGTAGGGAGACTCCCATTCCGGAACATCGGATTCCACCTCCTCCTCCTCTTGTTGTAAATCTACATTGAGAGATCAATCAAATATACAAAGGGAGATCAATCTAATATACAAAGGGAGATTAATCAAATGTACAAAGGGATATCAAATCAAAAGAAGATCAATGAAAAGAAATACAGGGAAATCAATCAAAGAGTACAAAGGGAGATCGTTCATAGCATACAAAGGGAGATCAATCATAGAGTACAAAGGGAGATCAATCTAATACACAAAGGGAGATCAATATAATGTACAAAGGGAGATCAATCTAATATACAAAGGAAGATCAATGACATCATACAAGAAAAAATCAAATATAAATGGAGATCAATAAAGTTATAAAAGGGAGATAAAGCAAACTCAGTAAGATTAATGGAGATCATTTAAAGAATATAGAAGTTCAGTCAAACTAAAAGGAAACATCAATAAAACAATTTAATTAGATTTTCACTTTACAATGCTGTCTTTCTTTTGAAATATTTTAAAATCTTACAAAGAAGCACATTCAATTCAAAACTTAAAACACAATTTTAAATCTATTTCACAACTTGGAATATGCAGATTAGCGTGATTGACTTACTCGAGAGGATTAGATGATAATTCTTGGTGATTTCAAGGAATCTCTCAGCTCCATATTTGTTGACTTTGGCTTTCGGCAAACCATCGATACTTGCCGTCATCTCATCTACAGTGAGTGGAGTCTTTTCTGCGAACTGTCGCAGGGTTAAAATTGGGAATACAGTTGCGTAGTTACGTAGGCCATGCTCAGCAGCTGTAAAAAATCAAGATCTTTATGCTTAATCTTATTCAACATAATGGAAAAGGGAAAGTACAAAAAAATTAATTTAGATGTACCACTGACAGTCAACCTTACCGATTGTCTTTGCCATTTCTAGCAGTTCGTTGAGACATTCTTCGATCACATTCTCTCGTTTACTGATGGGTTCTTTACCAATCTTAGCCACTTCAGTTCTCTTCCTACTGCCCTGTACCTGTAACTCTACCTGTAAATTAGAATTTATCAATTTGCAGAAAGAAAACATAAAGGGTGTAAATGCATCTACGCTTTTGTTAATAATTAATTAATTTAACATGTTGCTCGCAATACAATAACAGTGAAACCTCTTTTTTTGAACTTGATAGGAAAGAGAACTAGAACTGTCCAAACAGGACAAAATACCCCCGCTGGGTTTTTTTTAAAGGCGCTTAATCATGAATATTTTATGGATCTAAGAAAAGAGAGAAATGCTTAAACATTTTAGTGCAAATGTAATTGCTCATTATATTTTTAGGCCACCTGAGTAAACTCAGGTGACCTACTGCTATCTGTTTTGTCTGTCGTCGTGTGTCGTGCGTCGTACGTCGTTCGTAAACTTTTGAACATTTTTAGCTTCTTCTCTGGAACCACTGAGCCAATTTCAACCAAATTTGGAATACAGCATCTATTGGTGAAAGGGAACAAAAATTGTGAATTTCATGGTCCCTGCTCCCTGGGGCCTGAGGGGTGTGGGCCAAAACCACTAAAATTAGTGCAATCTTTAAAAATCTTCTTCTTTACTCCTGGACATCTAGCAGTCAAACTGTTGGCATGATTGTAATCAGCATTAAGTCCTCTACCAAAATTGTGAAATTCATGGCCCCTGGGTCAGGGGTTCTGGTCTCAGGGTGGGGTTATATAGATCATAAAGTAAACGTTCATTATTTCTTTGAAAATCTTCTCCACTGCTCCTTGGTATTAATTTAACTAACCAAATACATAATTATGATGACCAAGAGTGCCTCTTCTAAAATTGTGAATTTCATGACCCCGGGATCAGGGGTTCTGGTGTCAAGGTGGGGCTCTATTGATTATGTAGTAAAAATACATTAATTCTTTGAAAATCTTCTCCTCTGCTCCTGGGCATTAAACAAAATAACCAAGTACATGTGCATGGTTATGATGACAAAGAGTACCTCTTCAGAAATTGTGAATTTCATGGCCCCTGGGTCAGGGGTTCTGGTGTTATTAGTGAAAATACATTAATTCTTTAAACAAATGTAAAACATCTTCTTCTTTTCTCCTGGGTATTCAACAAACTAACTAAGAATATATAGTTATGATGAGCAAGAGTGCTTCTTCCAAAATTGTGAATTTTATGACCCCTGGGTTGTGGGTTGTGGTGTTAGGGCGGGGCCCTATTGATTATATAGTGAAAATGCATTAATTCCTTCAAAAATCATTCTCCTCTGCTCCTGGGTATTAAATAAATTAATCTAATCAGTAGCTATTATTAACAAGAGTGCCTCAAACATATTTATGTATTGGATGGCCCCTGGGTCAGGGGTTTTGGTGAAAGGGGTGGTTGGGTTGATTATATAAAGAAAATACATTCATTCTTTAAAAATCTTCTTCTTTGCTCCTAAGTATTAAACGAAATAACTAAGAATATAGTTAGGAAGGATGCCTCTTCCAAATTTGTCAATTTCATGTCCCCTGGGTCAGGTGTTCTGGTGTTAGGGCGGGGCTCTAAATGCCTCTAATGATTATATAGTGAAAATGCATGTATTCTTTGGAATTTTTTTTCCATTGCTCCTGGGTATTATGCCAATGATCTAAGTATATATATATTTATGATGAAGAAAGGTGCATCTAGCAAAATGGTTAATTTCATGCACCCTGGGTCAGGGGTGTTGGGGGGGGATACATAGTCTGCAAATAAATTAATGCTTTGAAATCTGCTCTTTGATATTAATAAATCATTCATGATGAAATAAAATTTATGATAAAATTTCCAAAATTTTTAAATATGTGGTTCCTGTGGTGTCTGGTGCACAACTGATTACAAAGTGGAAATGCATTTTCTCTTTGTTTCTCTGATCTACCTCTGGGTATAAAGTAACTAGAGTGAGCATTCTAAGTGTAATCATTATGATAAGCATCGGTGCCTCTTTCAAAATTGTGAATTTCATGGCCTCTGGTTTTAAAACTCAAACCAAATTCCATTGTTTGAAAGTTGTTGCATGATACTCAGGTTACCTATAAGGCCCGTGGGCCTCTTGTTTTATAAATGAAACGAAGGCGCAGCCTAATAAGATAAAAGACTAAATATACAGACCAGACACAAATTATTAACTTTTTCTGTCAGTGACCTTGAACTTGCATAAACGACTTTGGTACAAAGTCATGACACAACCTCAGGTTAGAAGCAATGTTTGTGTGAAATAGTAAATTCAAGTTTTTCCATAAAAAGATCTGTACCAAACATAAATTATACAATTTTTCTTTCAGTGACCTTGAACTTGCACAGATGATCTTGGGTCAACCTTTAAGTCATGAGGAATCTTTGTGCGAAATGGGAACTTACCAAGGTTATCCATATAAAAAAAGATATGGATCAAACACAAATTATGAAATTTGTCTTCCAGTGACCTTGAACTTCCCAAAAGGACCTTGGGTCAAGGTCATGACACACCCTTAGGTCATGGGCAATCTTTGTGTGAAATGAAAACCTACCAAGTTATCCATAAGAAAGATATGAACCGGACAGGAATTATGAAATTTTTCTTCTAGTGACATTGAACTTCCCCAAATGACCTTGAATCAAGGTCATGACACACCCTTAGGTCATGATCAATCTTTGTGAGGAGTAGTAGATTCTAATGTTCCTCTGTAAGAAAGATATGGACCGGACATTTTTGCACAGACAGATGGACAGAAAGCTAGAGGGACGGACAAGATGATTCTTATATACCCCCCCCCAAACTTTGTTTGCGGTGGGTATAAAAATCTTTTAGATGTCCAATGATTTGAGATAATTAGGGTAGAAAAATCAAAGCATCTATATACCTGTATGTACATTTTCTAGAATATCTGCATTCCATATATGAAATCACTTTAACGTAGATTTTTTTTAATAAGACGATATATTCCTCTATACATAATACATGTACTATTAAGAGTTTTACCTTGCGTTTTCCCATCATCACATCATTGGCTTTAGGTCCAAGCCTGATATAACAAGCTGTGGTGTCTGCCGCAGTAATTTTTAGATCCTCGTGTAAAATGGCGTCAATAACCAATTTTCTCAGCAGTCTTTCAGGATCAGCCCTGCTGTAATTTTTACCACGATCATGAAGGGGTATCCTGTCATGCCCAGCATCAGAAATTTTACCAGTTTTAGCTCCTTAAAATGTAAATTTGGTTTGCATTATTATTATAAAGTATAATATGCACTTAACTAATGCAAATATTGGTGACAAATCTATTAAAATAAGCTAGAAATATGTCCATAGGACATGAATGCCCCGCCAAGGATATATTAGTAAAGCAACACGAAAATTCGTATGTGTATAACATTTGATCAGTTTGGTTCAGGTAGGGGTTAGAGTTACTAGGGAATAAAAATATAGGTCAGATCCAGCATCCAAAGCATGTCTGGTAGAGTCCATCCCTAGATGCATCATCCATGCAAGTTTGGTTCAGGTAGGGTTTATAGTTACTTGGCAATGAAAATATAGGTCAGATCCAACATCCGAAGCAAGTCTGGTAGTGTCCATCCCTAGCTGCATCATCAATGCAAGTTTGGTTTAGGTAGGGCTTAAAGTTACTTGGGAATGAAAATATAGGTCAGATCCAGCATCCGAAGCAAGTCTGGTAGTGTCCATCCCTAGATGCATCATCCATGCAAGTTTGGTTCAGGTAGGGCTTATAGTTACTAGGGAATGAAAATGTAGGTCAGATCCAACATCCGAAGCAAGTCTGGTAGTTTCCATCCCTAGATGCATCATCAATGCAAGTTTGGTTCAGGTATGACTTATAGTTACTTGGGAATGAAAATATAGGTCAGATCCAGCATCCGAAGCAAGTCTGGTAGTGTCCATCCCTAGATGCATCATCCATGCAAGTTTGGTTCAGGCAGGGCTTATAGTTACTTGGAAATGAAAATTTAGGTCAGATCCAGCATCTGAAGCAAGTCTGGTAGTGTCCATCTCTATATGCATCATCAATGCGAGTTTGGTTTGGGTAGGGCTTATAGTTCCTTAGGAATGGACCTGCTCCAAAAACTTTAACCTGGTCACTCATCAAGAAAATGTAGGTCAGATCCAGCATCCGAAGCAAGTCTGGTAGTGTTCATCCCTAGATGCATCGTCCGTGAAAGTTTGGTTTGGGTAGGACTTATAGTTCCTTGGAAAAGGACCTCTCCAAAAACTTTAACCTGGTCACTTATCTGGAAAATGTAGGTCAGATCCAGCATCCGAAGCAAGTCTGGTAGTGTTCATCCCTAGATGCATCGTCCGTGAAAGTTTGGTTTGGGTAGGACATAGTTCCTTGGAAAAGGACCTCTCTAAAAACTTTAACCTGGTCACTTATCTGGAAAATGTAGGTCAGATCCAGCATCCGAAGCAAGTCTGGTAGTGTTCATCCCTAGATGAATCATCCGTGCAAGTTTGTATCAACATGTGAAGTTTGATAACAACATCTTGAATGGTATGTTTAAAACTGAGCTAAACACTAATTTAAGAAAAGTGAGGTCAAGGTCAAAGGAAAGGTCAGGGTAAAAAATGTTGATGCAGTTGCATAGCTCTCATCGATATCTATCAGCAAATGAAGTTTGATGAAAATATCTTGGATAGTTTCTTTGAAACTTAGCTTTGAACAGAGCTAAACGCAAAGTGTGACGGAAGACGGAAGGACCGAAGGACGGAAGACGGACATGACAAACCCTATATGCCCCGGCCATATTCATGGCGGGGCATAAAAACATAATAATTATGTGTGAATTTGGATTAAACAGTGGTGAAGTTGGTTTGGAGTTTTACTGTAAAATTAACTGAATGTAATGTTGACAACACTTTGCTATCTTAAGTAATACTAGAAATAAGTCACATACAGTTGAAAAAAAGGAATCTCGGTTATCCAGAAACTTAGCTTTCCAGACAAAATTTGTAGGTAGCAGAATTCAAACGATTCAAACACATATGTGACTTATTAATCAAGATATTTTATTAATCCAGACAATTTCCTCATAACACAAGTGTCTAGATTAGTGAGGTTCCACTACAATGGTTTCCACAGTGACTACAAATGATCCCCGAGAAGGATTCTCCGTAATTATTCTTTACCTCTAAATATATCCACAAAGTAGATAAGGGTGTAGTCGTTTCCCCGTCTTCCATTGACGGTCAGATCCTTCACACATTTCACAATCTCCTTGACATCATCTGTGACATCACGGAGTTGGAAGGATTCCTTAAATTATAAGAAATTAATTAATCAATCATCCAAAACTGTAGATGCAACCCCCCCCCCCCCCAAAAAAAAAAAATTATATCATTTTTAAATATCAGAAAAACTATTAATGAATGAAATGAAGCACTGTGAAATGTTGAGTAAAAATTCAGATAAAAGTAAACATTATATTGTCAATTTTGAGAATTCTGCTGTTATATCAGGTACTGTTCTCAAGTGGAGCCAGTTCTACTAAGAACCAACGCTTACACTAACATAAACTATTACACATGTAGCGGGTATACAACAAGAGGCCCAAGGGCCTTGAATCGCTCTTCTGATAAATTGTACAATCTATCATTTCTATTTAAAGCCTCTAACCCTAATTATTGTAAGACCCAACATCCACTGACAAAGTTTGATGATTCTCAGCCAATTAGGACTGAAGATATTTTAACAAGAGGCCCAAGGGCCTTGAATCGCTCTTCTGATAAATTGTACAATCTCTCACTTCTATTTGAAGCCTCTAACCCCAAGACCCAAGTTGCATCAACTGACAAGGTTTGATGATTCTTAGCCAATTAGGACTGAAAATATTTTTAATAATAAAGCTATAAAAAAACATCAGTACATCTCAGTGACCTGTATTAAGATTAAAGTTTTCTGAGGACTTAAGATGCATTAATAAACAAAGATTGAAGATTCTAAGACAAGAAGTATTTGAGATATTTAAAAGTAGGTCACCGTGACCTACTTTTCTGTCTACATTCTTTGAAAACCCAAGATACATCAACTGACAAAGTTTGATGATTCTAAGCCAATTAGTCCTTGAGATATTCAAAAGTAGGTCACCCTGAAATACTTTTTGGTCGACATTCTCTAAAAACCAAAGATGCATCAACAAACAAAGTTTAGTGATTTTCAACCAGTTAGTACCGTAGATACTTAAATAAAGTCATAAAATGTCAAAAATAAGGTCATCGTGACCTACTTTTTGGACATCATTCTCTGAAAACCCAAGATGCATCAACTTACAAAGTTTGATGATTCTAAGCCAATAAGTACTGTAGATACTTAAATAAAGCCATAAAATGATAAAAGTAGGTCACTGTGACCTACTTTTTGGTCGTTACTCTCCGAAAACCCAAGACGCATCAACTCAAAATGTTTGATGATTCTAAGTCAATAAATAGATACTAAAATATAGCATAAAATGTTGAAAGTAGGTCACAGTGACCTACTTTTTAGACATCATTCTCCGAAAACCCAAGATACATCAACTTACAAAGTTGGATGATTCTAAGCCAATAAGTACCGTAGATATTTAAATAAAGCCATTAATTGTCAAAAGTAGGTCACCGTGACCTACTTTTTGTTCGTTACTCTCCGAAAACCCAAGATGCATCAACTCACAAAGTTTGATGATTCTAAGCCAATAAATACCTAAGATACTAAAATATAGCCATAAAATGTTGAAACTAGGTCATCCTGACCTATATTTTGGTCGACATTTTTCAAAGTCACAAGATGCATCTGCTGACCAAGTTATGATCCTAGGTCTGAAGGTAATCAAAATATGCCTTTTAAACAATTTGAAAACATATGTCTTCAAAATTCAAAAAGTAGGTCACAGTGACCTACTTTTTCATAAATATGTTTTAAGGTCCCAAGATGCATCAATTTACAAGATTTGATGATTCTAAACCTCTCAGTGTCTGAAATAATTGGATTAAATGTTTTAAAAAGAATTAGTCATAAAGTTCAAAACGTAGGTCACGGTGACCTACTTTTAAGCTGACATTGTTTACGGATCCAAGATGCATCAACTGACATAGTTTGATGATCATAGGCCTTAAAGTGTCCAAAATATGCCTTCAAATCAATTTGAACACAAATCCTTACAAAATTTAAAAAGTAGGTCATCGTGACCTACTTTTGAGTTCACATGATGTGAAGTCCTGATATGCATCAACTTACCAGATTTGATGATCCTAGTCCTAATAGTAAGCAAAATATAAACGTTTTTATTATTTGTAAATTTAGGTCAATTTTAAAGTGACCTTGAGACCACGCCCTTTGCCCCAGGGTCATGCCTTGAACAATTTTTAATCTTAAACATATCCTGATCCTTGTATGTAAGTTTGGTGAAAATCTGCCTGGTGGTTATGGAGAAGTTTTTTAGCAACCAGTACTTTTGGTTTTGTTATCCTGATTATCTCCCCTTGTTTAAGGGTCCCAACCCTTATTCTAGTATAAAGGGTAGCCCTTGGGCCAAGGATACCCTGTGACAAATTTGACATTGATTGGCCAAGGGGTTCTTGAGTTATGGCCCATTTTCTAAAGAGTTAACGCACACTGCACACCGCACAAATGGCCATAGCATTAGCTCTTTGAGCCTTTGGCTCAGAAGAGCTAATAAAGCTAAACAAAAAAAAAACACAAGTAGGTCACAGTGACCTACCTTAAGTTTGAAGTTTTCTGAGGACTCGAGATGCATTAATAGACAAAGATTGAAGATTCTAAGCGAATAAGTATTTGATATATTTAAAAGTAGGTCACTGTGACCTACTTTTTTGTCTACATTCTCAGAAAACCCAATGTGTCAAAGTTACATTGTATCAAAGTTCTGACAAAGTTTGATGATTTTAAGTCGATAAGTACTCGAGATACTTAAATAAAGCCATAAAATGTCAAAAGTAGGTCACTGTGACCTAATTTTTAGTAGACAATTTTTGAAAACTCAAGATACATCAACTGACAAAGTTTGATGATTCTAAACCAACAAGTACCTGCGATATTCAAAAGTAGGTCACCATGACCTACTTTTTGGTCGACATTGTCTGAAAACCCAAGATGCATCAACTCATAAAGTTTGATGATTCTGAACCAATAAATACCAGAGATACTTTAAAAAAACCATAAAATGTCAAAAGTTGGTCACCGTGACCTACTTTTTGGGTGTCATTCTCCGAAACCCAAGATGCATCAACTGACAAAGTTTGCTGATTCTAAATCAATAAGTGCCTGAGATATTCAAAAGTAGGTCAACGTGACCTACTTTTTGATCGACATTGTCTGAAAACCCAAGATGTATCAACTCATAAAGTTTGATGATTCTAAACCAATTAATACCAGAGATACTTAAATAAAACCATAAAATGTCAAAAGTTGGTCACCGTGACCTACTTTTTGGGTGTCATTCTCCGAAACCCAATATGCATCAACTGACAAAGTTTGCTGATTCTAAATCAGTAAGTGCCTGAGATATTCAAAAGTAGGTCAACGTGACCTACTTTTTGGTCGACAATGTCTGAAAAACCAAGATGTATCAACTAACAAAGTTTGATGATTCTAAACCAATAAATACCAGAGATACTTAAATAAAGCCATAAATGTCAAAAGTAGGTCACTGTGACCTACTTTTTGGACGGCAATCTCCGGAAACCCAAGATGCATCAAATGATAAAGTTTGATGATTCTAAGCTAATAAATACTGGAGATACTTAAATATATCCATAAAATGTCAAAAGTAGGTCACCGTGATTTACTTTTTCGTCGTCACTCTCCGAAAACCCAAGATGCATCAACTCACAAAGTTTTATGATTCTAAGCCAATAAATACCTGAGATACTTAAATTTAGCCATAAAATGTCGAAAGTAGGTCATCGTGACCTACATTTTGGTTGAATTTTTTTGAAGTACCAAGATGCATCTACTGACAAAGTTTAATGATTGTAGGTCTGGAGGTAATCAAAATATGCCTTTTAAACAAATTGAAAACAAATACCTGCAAATTTCTAAAAGTAGGTCACAGTGACCTACATTTTTATAAATATGTTTCAATGTCCCAAGATGCATCAACTTACAAGATTTGATGATTCTAAACCTCTCAATGTCTGAAATAATTGGATTAAATGTTTTCTAAAGGTTCAGTCATAAAGTTCAAAAAGTAGGTCACGGTGACCTACTTTTAAGTTGACGTTGTTTGATGACCCAAGATGCATCAACTGACAAAGTTTGATGATCATAGGCCTTAAAGTGTCCAAAATATGCTTTCAATTCAATTTGAAAACAAATGCCTGTAAAATTTTAAAAGTAGGTCACCGTGACCTACTTTTGATTTGATATGATGTGAAGTTCTAAGATGCATCAACTTACAAAATTTGATGATCCTTGTCCTTATAGTAAGGAATATATCAACGTTTTTATTAATTCTAAATTTAGGTCAACTTGAAGTGACCTTGAGACCACGCCCTTTGCCCTACGGTAATTCCCCTTGCAAATTTTAATCTTTGACATATCCTTATCCTTGTCTGTATGTTTGATGAAAATCTGCCTGGTGGTTATGGAGAAAAAGATTTTTTTAACAACCAGTACTTTTGGCTTTGTTTTCCTGATTATCTCCCCTTGTTTAAGGGTCCCAACCCTTATTTTAGAATAAAAGGTAGCCCTTGGGCCAAGGATACCCTGTGACAAATTTGACACTGATTGGCCAAGGGGTTCTTGAGTAATGGCCCATATTCTAAAAAGGTTACGCACACCGCACAAATGGCCATAGCATAAGCTCTTTGAGCCTTTGGCTCAGAAGAGCTAAAAATCCAAACAAAAACAAGAAATGTTTGTAAAACACTTATGCCCCCCTCCCCCCAAATTGGATTTTTCTAAGTCCAAAAGGGCATAGCTCAGTCTAAATTTGCCATCCTACTCAAAACATAACTTGACCTTGATATTCAGCTGAAAAATCTGTATACTAAATTTCATTTCAATATGTGCAACCTCTGCAAAGAAAATGAACGGAAACTGCAAATAAGTGGAATTTTTCTAAGTTGAAGGGGCATAACTCTAGCAAAAAGGGTGCAATCGTACCCAAAACAGAACTTGACCTAGATATTTATCTGATATATCTGTATACTAAATTTCATTTGAATATGTGTAACCTCTGCAAAGAAATGAATAAAAACTGCAAATAAGTGGAATTTTTCAAAGTCCAAGTGGCATAACTCTAACAAAATGGTGCGATCGTACACAAAACAGAACTTGACCTAGATATTCTGCTCATAAATCTGTATACCAAATTTCATTTCAATATGTGCAACTTCTGTGAAGAAAATGAACAGTGGAATTTTTCTTTTAAGTCCAAGGGGCATAGCTCTGTCAAAATGGTGCGATCGTATCCAAAAAAGAATTTGACCTAGATATTTACCTGATGAACCTGTAAACCAAATTTTATTTCAGTATTTTGCAACGGTTGTGAAGAAAATAAACGGAAACTAATGGACCGACAGACCGACCGACAGATAAGAGCAAAGCAATATGCCCTCCCTTCTTCGAAGGGGGGCATAACAAAAAATAAAAATAACCTTAGACACACAGTTGTCACAAATGGCTCCACGGAAATTCCTACACTCCTCTCTATTAAAGTCTCTCTCTCCAAAGTAATTAAGCAGCTGTGATCGTCGACAGTCTGCCACGTTCTCACAGTACTGTACCATCCTGAAGAGGTTGTCTATATGAACTCTTTTGGAATCAAATGTGGCTGCCTGATCCACTGTGAAAAAAACAAAACATACTCAACATTTAAGATTTAAAGTCAAAATTGTGGTTGTTTGATTTTGAATAAAATTAAACATGTTTCCAATATGTACAGTTTATATAAAGACCCTCATACATGTATAAAGAATATCATTTTTCCACAGACCCCCCCCCCCTACTTACTCCCTATAATCCTCCTCAGTCTTTTGACGTCCTGTTACGTGTAGTACATTCTAACAGACCCCCCTACTTACTCTCTATAATCCTCCTCAGTCTTTTGACGTCCTGGTACATGTAGTACATTATAACACACCCTCTACTTACTCTCTATAATCCTCCTCAATCTTTTGACGTCCTGGTACGTGTAGTACATTATAACAGACCCCCTACTTACTCTCTATAATTCTCCTTAGTCTTTTGACGTCCTGGTACGTGTAGTACATTATACAGTGGGCTAGTAGTCCGTCCCTCCCGGCTCGCCCAGCCTCCTGCTAAAATCCCTCCACTGACTTCGGTAAGGAGTAATGAATAACAAATCTGACATCAGGTTTGTCAATCCCCATTCCAAAGGCAATGGTGGCACATATAACCTGAAAATACATATAGAGTCTAGGTGCTTTGGTTGGAAACAAATTGTCCAAATTAATAAAATATATTTTATTATTTTTTAGATATCAACAAATAGTTGACTATTCTACTTTCAGCTGAATGGTTTAACAATTAAATACTTCACCAGCCCCCCCCCCCCCCCTTGTAATACCTATTTTGGCTCTGCCCTACACAAGGAGTCATGATTTGAACAATTTAAAATCTGCACTACCCCAGGATACTTCCACATAAGTTTTAACTTTTCTGACTTAGTGTTTCTTGAGGAAAGGTTTTAAAAAGATGCCATTAATTTTCATGAATTCATAATAATCTCCCCATGGAAGAAGGATTTGCCCTTTATTTGAACAAACCTGAATTCCCTTCACACAAAAATATTTTGCTGTAAGTTTGGTTGAAATTCTCCCAGTGTTTGAGAAGAAGCTGAAAATGTGAAAAGTTTCCGACAAACCACGACGACAGACAACGGATAAAATTTTGATGAGAAAAGCTCACTTGAACCTTCAGCTCAGCTGAGCTAAAAAATAACTTATATATAGGAGGACCAACTTAAAGATGACTATATTTTCTTTGTTTGTATGTTGTTTAACGTCCCTCTTGAGAAATTTTCACTTATATTGAGACGCCACCACTAGCAAGTGGACGGTTGCAATTTTTTTCCTACACTCTGTATTCGGGGCAATTGAGCAGGAAAGGATGTTTTACGTGCCAGCATTGCACATACTGCGACACGGGACCTCGATTTATACAGTCTCATCCGAAGGACCAGTCTCGAAGTACCATAGTGGGATTCAAACCACGACGTGAGGATCAACTTCTAACCTTGCCACTCTTGGGAAGAAGCGCTAGCTCTAACCACTGTGCCACACGGGCTATAGATGACTATATAATTATGATTTTTTTAATGTTACTTTTTAGATTGAGGCCAAGGGGTTTTTCAGTTATAAATATGTCATGTACCAGTGGAGTTTGAAAAAAAAATCAGAAAATGTTCCAAATATTCAACTATCGTTTAAATAATTCAATCAAATATTCAACTAAAGAAAATAAATATTCTGACATCCCTAACATAGACATTTACCTTTTGGAGAGAAACGTTTATTACTAAGTGCTTGGAAGTGATTACTAAGAAGTACTCTTTCATGCTGCTCAACGAGGCCGAGTCTAATTATTTCTGGCCTAGGGATTTTGATAATTTTTTTATATAATTAATTTTTACTGTGATATTTATTTATTGTTTTAAGATTAACATATCCAATGTATACCATCCCGATTTCTAAGGCGACCATCTCAAAAGTTGTCAAATTTTACTTTTGGACCCTATGGGAATCTGTTGGAAAAACGCCAAATTAATAGTATCAAATTTTCCCCAAATTTTTAGTATTTCTGCACTAGATATTTCTCTTTCATTCAAGTAGATGAAAGTTATCATAAAAAGTCACCAAGTAGCAAAATTTCAAAAAAGTTCATCATCTATGTTGGTCTAGGAATAAATTACCAAGTTTATTTTTTCAAAGCCCAACACCTCTAAATTTGCCATATTATGGAATAAATACATATCAGTGCAGATGAATTATCGGCGCATATGATTTTTTGGTAAAAATTAGCAATGTTTAGATTGTTTACATGTTTCTTAGGATGTACTGACATCAGTTTTTAGTATAATATGCATGGACGTCTTACAACATACAAGCGAGCCATGCGTGATTCTTCAGCGCCATGCATTGCTTACAAAATCCGAAAATGGTGACGTCGTTAGAGCCATTTCAGCGGGGTTTTTTCTCTAATTATTGTCGTAAAATAACATATTCAGACCAAGTAGAGGTTACAGATAATGTTAATTTTTGATTAAAATCAAAATATTTAGCAAAGGTGTATTGTCGCACAAATGACTACATGAAACTAAAAAGCTGCGCAAAGTCATGTGCACTCAAATTAGACTCGGCCTCGTTAAGTATGTTGCGGAATTGATGACTTATTTTAGAAAACAAAAGTAATAATATGATATTTTGTTTATGTAGAATTCCATCCATTGTTATATTCACTTTTTAGACTTTTATACAATTGAAACTTGCATGTCACAAAGACACATCTAATCTAAATTTCAAAATTCATACTATCATGGAAATGGTGAAAATAAGAATTCAGTGCATACTGTAAAGGAAGATTTATTCATTTGTTATATTAAAAGAACACAAGTTAATCATTTTTCTTTTGAGTTCTACAATGATAACTCAGCTGAGCTTTTAATCTAAGAGCATTACAGAACTTCACCTCTCCGCTCCTTTACATTCATCTGTTCCTTCTGTGAGAAATAGTTATAATAAGAGTGATATATTATGACGTTTTAGAAATAAATCATTGTCATGTTCTATTGTTATAATGGTCATAGATTTCACTGCAGATATTTGATTTTCTTCACTTGTTTGTTTCTCTCTTGAGTAACAAACAGATTGTCATTTGTATCCGTACACAGTCCCCAGGGAAAACTCAATCCACAGTGTATGTAACAGAGGAACTGTCCATCCTGGTCTATGATGTGGACACAGTGATTGTTATCATCAGCTGTAAGGATGTGACTCTGACTGTCTGTGGTGATTCCTTGTGGATCAAATGGTTTGTTCTTTGGAGCAGGAGTATGTCCAGTGTACCTGAATCTCAGTTTCCCGGCCTGATTGACCACCACTACTGCTTTAGCTCCCCAGTTAGACACACATATATCAAGATTCTTGTTCTCAGTTATATACTTTTTATAACTATCAAGAGAATAAAGAGGTTTATCTTTATCATCAAACTGAATGGTTTGTTTCTCTGTGGACCCAGAGTAACGGACAACTTTTGTTTGTTTGTTATCATTATTATACATGATAACCAGGAGGTCACCAGAGGAGGTACTACAGACACCTTTAGGTATCCAGTTCTGTAGTCTAATCACCTCCTCTATCTTCTCTTTCTTCACAATGTTCACAGTTCTATATCTGTAATCAGTATAAACTAGATCCCCACGTTTTGTCACTGCTATGTCACATGGTTCGTTCCCTGACTTGGTTATGATTGACTTGAGTAGTGATCCTTGATTGATGCTGAAGAGTTTCATGGTGTTGTCACCTCCACTTGTCCAGATTTTTTCATCACTCAGACAGGCCACATTGTATAGTCCATACTGATTACTAGTGTCTATGGTGGTGACAGTCTGTGGTTCATCAAGCAGCTGTTTGACTGGAGGAGAGGATCCAGTTTCTGGTGATTTCTGTGTTGTCGTCATGCTGTAGCCATGTTTATCTGATGATAAAGAACTTGGTGATAGGGCTCCAAACAGTTTATTAAGTTCTTCTTGATGAATTTTTCCTGGAACGAATTTGGGTAACAATGGAATGATTTTGTGTGGAAGATTTCTGTATGTGTGTACATTGGACGTGACTCTAAATAGTTTTGACAAGTCATTGGTTTCTATTGCAATTTCCATGGAATCAATTTCTTTCTTGATGTCAGACATTTTTTTGTTTATTTCTTCCAGATGTTTCTGTAGAGTTTGAATCTGTGTGTTTTTCATCTCATCAATCTCAGCTTTAAGTTTCTTGACAAGTCTGTCAATTTCTCTGTGCCAGTCCTCTCCATGTATTGTTATGGCTGTTGAGAGATCCCCATATTCCTTTTCTAACTGACTCATTCTGTTTTGTACATCAGAGGCAATGTCCTGGTAGGTGGGATAAATTGTCTCATTTAATTCATTTCTTTCCTTCCTAATTATGTCTTTTTTGTCATCCACAATTTGCAAAACTTTAGATAATTCATGACGTAAATGTTGTTTTGCTGCAAGGCAGCTGATGCAGACAGGAATGTCACATTGTTTACAGTACATTTCACATCGTTCTTTGGCATGAGATGGGCATCTAGGGTAAATGGGAGTGGATTTTCTGTCCTGAAATTTGACGACCTTGTGATCTTTGGTTTCACCTGTTGAGATGTGCTCTCCCACACAGGCCTTACATAGGTTGACAAAACATGTATCACAGTGCATTTGTACCACAGCGGTCTCACAAAGATCACATCGTATCACATCCTGGGCACTGGTACGGGGATCCATGGTATTTTGTAACTGAAGCATAAACAATTCAATATATTAAGAATTACACATTAATCAATAAATTTGAAGGCAACATGCATTTTCATGGACTCCGACATACAGAAAACAAACAATCTTTGCAGATAAGCATGTCCATAGAAAAATCATATAACATACAAGGTTCATTGATTCAATGTGGGAAGGAAATTTTTTTTCCCTAAGTAAAAGATTGTAATACTGAATTTTTAAATACTTTTAGAATCATACACTCTGAAAACTTTTAAATTCCTTACCAGACTTCAGTAATCGCGGCCGTCCTGTTGATCAATCTCCAAGTGCAGTCTCGATTCACTCTAATCACGTGACACACCTGCTTTATCTACCTGTCAGGTGTTTATACTTCCTGGTCTAGATAGGCATGTAAATACCTTCAACATTGGCTCTTTGAAATGCAGTTATATTTAATTTATAGTTCATGTGATTGTCTGTGTGTAAACAATTCCTACAGTTTTGACTTTATTTTAATAGAGTTTGGGACACCAGTAGAATACACTGACATACATAATTGTCCCCCACTTTCACTGATTAATATTGATTATGTATATAATCATTGTTTATTTTCCAAATACAATATCATTTTTATACATAATAGATTGTCCAAGCATTTCTTGCCTTCAGCTATACAGTTGCTAGAAAGCATATGTTCACATAGGCAAGATGCCCTCAGCCTGCAGGATTCGGAGTATACAACTGTTACAGTTATGTAACTAGTATTTGGTTCTGATGCTGGGATATTGACTTAATCTGCTGTCTTGTATGAGCCCTCAAGGCAAATGTGTAAAATATTTTAATAGTATTGTGAATAAAATTTTTGGAGCTCTCAATTATATTCTGTTGTGTTTGGATAAATAAACATCTGAATGACAGATGATAAGGTGTACATATTTGACACAATATGCCATAAAAATGAATGACATCTTGACTCATAAAGACACCGAAAACAGGAGACCACAATTCTTAGAATTTGCTTATTTTAAGTTTTTTTTTAAATAGAGTAAAATAAATGGTTCTATAGTGTAAAATTAAAAATGGTTCCCAAAACTTTTCATCAGGAAGGTGAAATATAAATATGAAGTCTAAAAACATATTTTTTTGGGGGGGGGGGGGGGGAGGTAGAGGTGGTATTAGACCGATCATTTACCTTACATCGCTGTCCACTGAGCCACTTTTCCTGGATAGAGATTCTGTCGTTGTCACTGAAACCTGCGTGGTAGGATACAGCCTGGGTCCCAGATTTACTCAGCTCTGTAGCTACTGTACGTGTCACACTCCTTCCTATAAAATCAGATCCTTGTTAAAAATTGGAGCCCACTCAGACCACGCTCTCAGAATATTCATACCCGAGTTGTTAAAATTAGATTTACAGTTTCTAGTAAAATCATTATTTTGTAAGTTAATGGTGAATTTATTATTACTTATATTAATGTTTACAATTTCTAGTAGACTCATTTTTTTCTGAGTAAATTTTGTTAGAATTTATGTTTATACCAGTAAAGCCATGCACCCCCTCTTGAGTTGATAAATCTATTAGTAGTAAGTTCTTTTAGTAAATACCAGTTTGGAATAGAATATTAACCTTGAAAGACAATACGCAATGCCACACTTTCCTGGGGACTTTTCCTTTATCAATTTAATGACATCAGCTGTTCGAGTTACCAGTTTCTTAAGTTTAACTGAGAATTTCAAATCTAGATGATTGAAGAACGAAGCTGAAGAAACCCTATCAGAATAAATATATAAGTTAACTAGAAACTCTTGTTGCTATAGCAACAAGGAAGGTCTTCCGTTCTCCTCTATTTATCTGCATGAATGAGGTTTTATCTATGTTAAAAAGGCATATAATATTAAAAATGATTTCAAGAAAACAAACGACCGTAGGTGTAACTTACCAAGATTCTCGACGTTACTTTAGACAATTATAGTCTTAATAACATTTACAAAAATCATTTTCATTAATTCTTTTATCACTTTCTATGACGACTGGAAGTGACATCAGACGCAAGTTATCCTATATCTGGTGCCCAATCTTTATGGTTTATTATACATGTAAGTTCAGTGTCTTGATCTCTTGCAGATTAAGAGATCTCGTAATGTTAACTTAATGAAATCATGTGACCGGAAGTACATTTTTTGAAAAGAAATTTGAAGTAACTCTAGACATTTCAGTCTGAATAACATGTCCTAAAATCATTTCTATTACACTTTTTATAAAAGTATCTATGGGATAGTATGATACTAAAATCACGCGACCGGAAGTAAATTTTACAAAGATATTTGACGTTACTGTAGACATATGCAGTCTTAATAACATATCTAAAAATCATCACAAATACTATATCTGTAAAAAATATTTATGGGAATGAAAAATA